TGTTGCTAAGAATTCAAAAAGACTACAACAGGTCCAGTTTGTTTGTTTTACACTATGGATTCTTATTTGAAATCCTTGGGTTATAGTGAGCATGTGAATATGGACAGTCAATCAAGGGAAAACAAAAGTTATTTGCAAGTGACTAGAGTTCTTCAAGTTGTTGATAACCATATCTATATTCTACCCTCTACCTTTTCTTCCTTGGAGTTACATGCAGCATTTGACTGCCACAGGAGCACCACCTTTTATCTGCTTGCCATGGGACACAAGGAAGGGAATGGCTCTAGTGTGCCCTTCAAGTTCAACTGATGTAAAAAGTCTTCAGCTGAGTGCTTGAGATGTGTACATGTTCACAATGAGGATGTGCATATGGACAACCCATCTCAAAGAGCTCCAGTTACTGGGCCAAATAACCTCTTTTTCAGTACTTGTTCAGGCCCCAATTTCACTGAAGACCCAAAGCAATGTTCCATTAACTAACACGGTGCAGGGCCAAATATGGTAGCATTACAGATTATAATGCAAGCTACTACAAAAGTAGGTCAAGAAAATAAGCCTTCTACAGATGTTTGCATGACTTCGTTCATTAGGTTACCCTAATGAGTATTTGAGGGCGTTTCATACTACCCTAAGACAGTCCAAGGGTTTTGTATCATTAAGCTTATCAGCATTCAGGACCAATGGTGTACAGCAATTTGAGGGGAAAAATGCCCACATAAAAGTGAGATAATTTAGAAGAAAGGGGAGCAATGAGGAAATAAAATATGCTCCTTAACTGTGCTGTCGACATGTTCTCATTCTCTTTTGCATTCCCCTCTGAGGAAAACCACCTGATGTCAAACAACTGGCATATGGAATGTTTTACAGATGGATCAGCATCAGTGACTAACATAGCTGTATATGATTATCTGTCACACAGATGTTTCAGCTTGTGTTTGTTTGCTAGCCAGCCAGCTAGCAGACAGACTTTCTTTTGGGGGATCACCAACAGATGTTTAACAAAAAGAGAGAGAATAGCCTACTGCTCTGAATAGGTTGCTAGCTTCATTGCCTTTTTGGTCAGCATCATACCCTGAGAAACAACTGGAAAAGATCTACTGGTAGGATCTGAGAAATTTTCCAAATTCTTCCTTAAAAAGGAGTCACTTAGTATTAGTTGCATTTGCAGGGTTTTCTCTGCCTTACAACACTGTCACCTGCAGCACTGAAAATATATTTGTAATGGTTGCTGAATACTAAAAATTAATGGAAAGAATTTTTTTAATAGGCCATTGCTATCCTTAATACCAACACACTAAAGAGTTATTAGACATGATGCCTGTAGACTTTCATCATAGAAATATTTTTGTTTAATAGATGTACTATTAGACTACAGCAAGTGCAGCCATGCACATAGAAATTTCTCCCACGTTAAGCTCTAATAAAGTCAGTGGGGCTTTGTGGATGGCTGAATCTGATTGCAGGATCTAAACATTAGGGTGCAGACAGGGGTGACAGTTTTTGCCTGATCTGGCACCTGAAAGTTGTCTACAGCTGTAACCCAAAAAGAAGTGCATGGGTACAGACTGCTTTAAAAAGGGCCCAGTCCCACAGAAATCTGAACCTTCATTATATGCAAGTTCAAATGATCATGCTCCAAAACAGCGTGCATTCTGTCACTTGTGTCTGTGGAGCAACCAGCCTGTTGCTGTTTTCAGAATGGGAGTGAGGAAGGGAGCAAAGCACTTCCTGCAAAGCACTATGAGTTGCAGCAGGGAGCTGCTTTTCTGTCAGCGTCCTTAGTCTCCCTGGACTCAGCCTACCCTTTGCGTCTGCATGTTATTGGGGGAGGGAGATGGACAGCATAGTACCTGCTTTATTCATATAACCCACATAACGTTTCCATTGTTCTGGAATTATAGATGGGCATCATGATCATGTTAGTGCTGAACCTCAACATTTCATTAAGTATCCCTTGTGATTTCTGACATAAGTAGGAAAACCCACATCCCCTTAAGTGACTTCTACATACATAGGAGGCTGTTGGAATATGCTCTGAGTATGTTTACTCTGGCTCCTTGCTACTCTCCAGATTGCTGCCAGAAAACAAGCCTCTCCAACCTACTCCCACTCCACACACTCTAAACCTAGAAATATGGTGCTGAGGATGCTTCTGGGTGTCCTCTCCTCTTCTCCACAACAGCTTCTGCGATCTTAGGAACCAGACAGCTTGAGAGTGGTGTTGGGGTGGTACCCCAGGTTTATCCTCACTGCCCCAGTTCTGGGTTTGGTCATGCAAAATAAGACAAGGTGGAAAAGGCTTATTTTTCAGTTGCAGCTCTAAGGGGGGGCATTGGTTCTTCTGTCCATTCTTACTAGAATTTGAAAAAAAACAAAACTCAGGTTGATGGAATCAAAGGCAGGTTAATATTTTGATATTTATCCAGTGCAAAAAGATCATTAATTCACAAAACCATAGCAGTCTTTTTCATAACCAAATTCTGTTGTCACGATTTTATCAAAGATATTTCCTTCAAGAAAGGACAGTCTTGGTGTAAAATCCTTTATAGGATGTTGGCTCCCTGCCATCCTGAAGGGGGAGATCTTAATAGTCCCCTAATAGTCTCCCCTAAAGTAATAAGCACAGTACTTCCCCATCACCAAATAAGCACATAACTCTAATTCACACATTGTATCTAAAACTTTCTTTACAAAATCCAGCACCTCAGGGCATATGTAGATGAAACGGGGGCCCTAAATTGAAGCAGTGGGTTTTAACAAACACGGCTTCAATATAGGGCTGATTAAACCCCTGTGTCGCGCACGCACCCCACTGACTTACCTGCCTCTCCAGTGGGGAGGAGAGAGCAGGCTGCTGGTGGACGAAGCGGTCCCTGGGCTGCAGGGAGGGGCTGATGTTTCCCTCCGCAGCAACTGCACCCCCCTCTCCTCCCCGGTGGCACCCACCCGCAGACACCTGGCTCAGGCGGTCCCGGGGGGCACTGCAGCTGTGGAGGGAAGCGCTGGGCCCCCCCACACATCAAGCAGGCAGGCAGGCTCCGGGGGGGGGGGGGGGGG